AATCATGGCGCGTACGTAAATCCTGGTACACAGGTGGGGACCCAGAACTTTCGGCCTTGCTTCTCAGACGGACTTAACCTGGCCCCAGTTGTTCAAAAGCTGGATAGCGCTATCCACCGGATAAATCTCTATCCAGTGGATAAGTATTAGGGAGACCAATTGCGCTATCCCGTTATCCACCTTTTGAACAACTGGGGCCAGAAGTTTAGATTCGTCTGTGGTGCCGACTACCATACAATTAACTGAAATAAGTGAGTACAAGTGTATATCCCGACCTGCCCCGTGGTTAATTAGTAGTTGAATAACTTCAGCATGGTTATTGCGGGCAGCATAGTGAAGCGCAGACAGCCCTTTCGCGTTTGAATGATCCAGATTAGGTTGACTTGTCTCCAGCAGTGTGTTCAGTGCAACTACATCTCCTTCACGACACACCTAATTTGAGAAAGCGGACAATACATGTTATTTGCTTAGGTCTAAATCAGACCAGTGCCATAACTTCAAAATTATGCACTGAAAATGAATGAAGGGGATGTTTAGCCTACGAATACAGTCGTCTTCCCTCGCTCTTTGCCGCTTGGGACATTTAGCGGGAGAGACGTATGCGCCAGAACGACCGAAATGTCGTATTAGTGACGTAAAGGAACGTTTACACAATTTATCTGGTAGTTATGGGGTTTCAAATGTAAATTTGTTCGCGTTTATGTTTTCCTGGTCTATTGCCGTCAAGTTTTGAGTTCTTCTGCGAACAAGTGGCAGTAAGACTCAAATGCTTTTTCTCAAGAAGAATATATTCTAGAAATATTGACTAACTTGGAGTAGATTCATCGTCACGTTCACATTTGACCTTTGTGACCTTTTGCCTGTCATTCGTAAACAATAAATAAAAGTATATATTTACTACGCCGACCAATCAGAGCTCCTGACCAGATTCTGGACAGATTTTACGTCATCAGTATCGTATTTTTGTTGTTCCAGCGTAGACGTCTTTCCCGCGAAACGACCCTGGCGGCAATAAGGAGAGAGTACAGACGCGGGCTGTATTTGCAGTTTAGGGAATTAAGGCCATAATTGCAATGTATATCAGAAACAAGAGTTACAGAGAGTTAAAAGGAAGTACATTTAAAAGCTTGATCATCTGCCGCTTAAGAAACGGAAAGGGGACTGGAGCCGAAATACGTCCCGCAATTGTTTCTGGGATCGTTACCGAGGCCGTAAAGTCTTTCTCTATTTATAGTACTACATGACAAATTTCTGCAATTTGATTGGCTTAGAGCAGTGGTATTTGAGCTTAATTTGAACTACCTACATGTGAAAATTACAAAACCTTTGCGGGTAGTAGTATAAACAAACAATAGCATGATTTGTACCTGATATTTGGCATAAATACCACTCATGATATTTCAAAATTGTCTCAAATTTCACTCGCCTAACGACTCGTGAAATTACGTATAGCAATTTAGAAATATCAGTCGTGGTATTTATGCCAAATATCGCCTACAAATCATGCTATTACCTATACTAATATTCGTACCCTGAAAAAGGCATGCAAATAGAGATAACGAGTACCAGAAATAATGCCTACACTTTCCAGTTTGAAGGTTTTCTCTGGTTCGAATTTGAATGATTTGCAACCGTGCTACAATTTTATTCGTAATTCAAGTTTTGTTTTCCTTTTTTTTGCTATTATCATGCATATTATATGACCTTAGCTACAAAATAAAATAAAATGTGAACCCGAAGGAGAAAATTATACGCGATTTTAATGAACTTTAATCGGTTAAAATTTTGATTTTAGCAGTTTTATGAAGTCTCATTCTCATTACATGGAATAATTGTTGATTACTAAACATTGCCTCCGGTGAGGCACTAGGAGTTTAACTATAATTACTTTAAGGATGTTTAATTTATGTCAGATATTTTCCGCTCTAGGCCATTTCCAAGGGGATGATATCAAATGGAGTCCAATTTATTTTCTCTGAGTTAGGTAAACATCTGAAACATAATTTCCATTCTGAACTGTCAACTGTCAGTAATTGTGGCACTGATCACGCTTTCCCAGATTATGGCAGAATAATTTAGGTGCAACAAAATTGAAACGAATTCGGTAACGTTGTGATAAGTACAAATCATTCTGGAAACATCACTTTTAGAACCTGAAAATTACATTTTCGTCTCCTTATGATGACAAAAATACCGACAAAGGATTTTAAGAGACTTAGCTAGAATACTAAAGACGCGAGAAAGTGTAAAGTTAATTTCTCCCACGTAGCAAAAGCCTGAGGCAGACAAAACTCAGTAAACCCTTGGACGTGCTTCTAGAGTGCAAATTATTAAAATTATTTAAGGGAAAACAGGCTCCTGAGTAAATGAAATAAATTGGACTTCAAAATAAACAATAGACTGGACCTCTTAAGAGAACAATAGAATAAAATTACAAGAGGCAATATCAGGAGGGCAATTTCCACAAAACAATTTTCTGGCAATTTACTCACCCGAATTTTCTCCCCTCCCTTCAAAAAACAAACAAACAACCAACCATAGAATTACGTTGCATGGGAGTGTATTTTTCCGTGCGAAAGCCAGTTGGTTTTCATAAACAATTTTTTCCGAGTCACAAAACTAAGAAGCTGAACAAAATTGAACAGTTATTTCTGAGTTATTTAGAGTATCAATTGCAGGTTTCGCTTGCCAGATATATGGACTACAGACAACTAATGCAAGACTACGCACGCGTCCAGAGATAATATTTCCCCCGACTCGTCTCACAATTGTGTGCATTTGAGAGGTTACTGTAAATTGGTTTGAAAGACTGTTCATTTAATTTCCTGGATCAGGAAATGGAATTTATCGCAACAGCACAACTATAATCGATATCTCCTACAAATGGCGAAAAATGGATTTATAGATTTTAACACCTAAAAGCTAGCACACTCGCCAAAGCTGGACGCCGAGCATAAATCTTTGATTCTTTATGAAAAAACTAATAATAAAGAAGATGATGTGAAAATAAAAATGTCAGATACGAACATTTATTACACTATGATGCAAATGTGTGAACGTATGTTATTTGCTTGGTTTCAACCGCGCTGGCGATGAAAATCAAATTTAGCCAAAACTCTGCAACATGCCCTCTAAACAATATTAAACAATTTTTTTTTACGTGGATTGTTCTTCAGTTCTTAACATTGTACTAAAAGGTTCTTAACTATTGCAAACAAATGTCGGAATCTTGTAGCTGAGTTTTCAAAAAGACTGCAGGCAGTGCAGGTGCCCGTTTGTAACTGAAGATGCGCACCAAATTTTTACAGATTAATTTTTCAAAATGTCGAACACTCATACATATAAGTGAAATGTAGTTTTCAACTAAACTGCTTCACTATCGAAATTTGACACTTTCAAAACGAAGGAAGTAAGGGCATAATGCACCCGAATAAATCTCATGGTGTGATCTCCTACCTCATACAGATCGACTTCTCTCGACACCATGGTTCCTTCCATAGCATAAGAAATGCTTCTTTGAAGTCCCTTTGAGACTGCATTTACAGACTTTGGTCGAACTTCGACTTGACTATCACGATGATTTAGAACCTGCATGGAAAAGTCGGTGGGACCCTCGCCAAACGCGATATAATCTAAATCTCCTACTAAAGCCAAGGTACTCCCATCCATTACTCTGCAATATCAATAGGAAAATGGGAAATGAACACAATCTTCAAATGTGGAGAAAGATTAATCTTTTAATTAAATCGGTGTTTCGAATTGAAAATAATCTACTCGCTCACTAGCTAACTCACCTTCTAGATCTCCTCATGTCAAAGGAGAAATCCTCATCTTTTATTGACATAATAATTTTGTAATTAAACTCAAGGGTGCCGGACGAAGGTGCATATAAACTCTATCTTTCACTCATCTCACACAGGAGTTTAAATTGACATATTTATTGCGTCATCAACATTAAAAATATGTGCAGACGCAACAGTAATTAATGAAAACTCGGCGTTCTCAGTTTTTCATATCTTCGTTACTATAAATTAAGAAAAGCTTGCAAAATAAGTGCTTGTTTTAATTTATTTTCTAGGAACTAAAAACAAGGCACTGTGTGTAAATTAATATAAAATGCGATGATCGCTCAAAGAAAGCTTATAGTTGATTTGCCAATGACCAGCTGAAGAACAAAACATTAGTTAGCATTTTTTATATAAACAAAAAATAGCCTTGATCGAGTTTCCTTGATCACCATGCAGTGACACTGATTTTATCAATAAATTTGCGCCAGTTTAGACGGATAAGTGTTCAAATCAATGGAAAACAATATTACTGATATTAACAGCAAGTACCTTATTTGAAAATTGGTTTGACTTTGGAGACGAGTACTTGGGTTATCACGCCGGTAAACCCATAGAAAGTGTGGTATCTATTGCTTTTATAAAATGACTCTAAGTTTTCAATGAGTTTACCGGCGCAATAAACCATATATAGGTTTTTAATCAATCAGAACGCGCGTACTATCTTAGTCGGTTATTTTAGAAATACGCATAAACGCCCATGCGTACAGCTGAAATCTGGAAAAATATTTTCTTTTTCTCCTGAAAGCATTTTTATCATTGAATTGGGATGACTGATATCTTTTTTGGCACTATATTGGTTTCCAGTTGTTAGTATTATTTTCCCTTATCTTTTCATTATTCCATAAACGGACGTTGATATTGAAGGCGTTGTAACAGAGTTGCCAATTTGAAGGGTAGGCGTCTCGCCCTTTGCTTGTAACCTTAGCTCCTTAATGGCGTCATTGTTTCACCCTTTTTCCATAATACTGTACCTAACTACTGCATTTTCCTCCGCATTTATTTACTAAAAATGTCCTGGAAATGGCATTTCCGAGACCCTAATTTTAAACAATTTTCTGTAAGAGCATGCCCCCCAGACCCAAAGGCGCACACCTTCAAAATCTCAGACTACGCCTCTGCCTTCGTGTGCTGCACAGAGGTGTCTTGTCTCGAGGCTGATGGATACTTTCAACCTCAAATCTTAAAAAGGTGTTTTGCAACAAAGGATCACAGTTTCCAACTAATAAAACAATTTATCTGTTGTTGCTATTTGTTTGTTCTCGTTTTTTCCGTTAACTATTAGCCATAAAAAGGCCAAAATGTTTGAAATGTCAGTCGTCTCCATCCCCTTGCCCCCCACGGGTAAGGGGATGGAGACCCTTTTTAAACAGTTACGAGCAGTTTTTTTCCCCGCCGTGGCAATCCGCCGGCGGGAAGCACCCCGGTCCTCCGCCAGTCACGGCAGGCCAGTCTGAGTACCAATTGCAGGAGAAATAGGAACTTTGGGTGATTCGTCCCGACTCGTCTCTGTTTGGATCTCAAGGTGAGAAGCGTGACCGAAGGGAGCGCAAGAGGTGATGGAAAGGAGGAAAACGAAAGGGAGAAACTCCTCCTCCCCATCACCGCTTAAGCTCCCACTGACTGCGCTTATCTCGTTAAAATTAATAGTAGACTGAGAGACGACTGGGGACGAGTCAGGAACGGCTGCGCCTGACTGTGACGCAGGCTACCGCGGGTCGATTGATTTTGATAGTTGCAGTTTCATAATTTCCAACTTAACATTGCTTAAACTGGATTTTAAAAACATGCACTTAACATCAAAGCCCTTGCACAGCAACAGCCCTAAAGTCACAAGAGACGCTCCATCCTCTATTCTGCAAATGCGTAACAGCATTCTGTAACTTACAGTTTCGTGACTTCCAGCTTGTGCATACCATCAACAAAACGTGACTTGACAAATTAGGTCAAATTACACTGCAGTACCGATCACGATAAGTACGACTATGTATGTTAGCTACCTGTTCACTGAAAAAAACATCTCGGCTTTTCTAAGACTTGCTAATGTCACTTGTCTCATACTCAATTTACGTATAGTATTGATTAACTAGAGGGCAAGTCGAAAGTTTAGTTAAATTGCAGTAACATATCTGTTGATACCAGCTGACAAAGCAAGAAATGTTTCGTGGAGATTCTGAAATTACAATCCGTCAATACACAATGGGTGTCTTTCTTCGGTCTAATTAACGTGTAACTGCTAGCACTTTAATCTAAGCCGTTCTAATTCACTGGTTCAATACCAAAAAACGTGCCTTTTGACTTAATATGCTTCCCTTTTAAATAAAGATATATTAAATAGCTAAACACATGTACAGTTACTACTTACCAATAGGTTTTGGCAACATTTACTAATTTGTTAAGTAACTTGAACACCCTCATAATCATGAAAATGCATTTATGACCACATCATCATCGTTTTGTACCTACTTTTAAATAAACTGAACACCATACCTTTAATTTTGTGGCAAACAGCTTATTGATTGTCGTAGACATGCAGTCATCAGGAACGCGATTATTATAAATACAACAGCATTTGTAATTATTTATGCCTGAGTGAATTCGAATCCGGTGCGTCAATCATTCACAAGTACTCTACAACTTTGTGTCGTCACGCAACGCTCCTCCACACGAAGTGACGAAAATAACGGCTGTGATCACGCGGGCAACGACTTGTGCAACGCGACGATGTCGAGCGTTCTTCGTCGGAAGTGCCATTTTCACCGAATATGGGCTGCGGCGATTTCATACTTTGACTTAACTGATGCACACACAGTCAGCAAAAGATACGTGCATTTCAGTGTTCACCAAACTATGACGGGTATGAAACATGACCGTAATATGTACGGAATCCTTACCTCGTTGGGCGAAAACTGTGATACGCTGAGCTACGATCTCTCCGATCCTTTCCATGCAAAGGTCGGATGTCATAAATTCGAAAGCACTTAACTTTATATTTTTACGCAGCGAGAGAGCGTCATGTTATGTCAAGTTTAACAGTCCCAGTCTGTGGTTATGTGAATCAGTCTTTCTTGTCGGGTGAGAACTATGAAAGCCCGAACCCTTAGTCAACATTTTCTCGATTCACGTCTGCCACTCCTTACCCAGGCTCCAGAGGTCCGTTGTCAGAAACACCCAGGAAATGCTCTGGCTTCGCCGCGAACGATCAAGCTCCAGATAAATAAGGTACCACTCCTTTGAAACCACTGACATAAAAGTTGGGTTTAATTGCTCCTAAGATATCCCAACTGATCCTCATCGAACTCCGGTTTAGGGCGAATGGATATACCGGTATCTCAGTTGCCCAGCTACTTGATCCCTAGGAGATTTTGGAGGTGGCTTATTTTGCCGTACCTTTCTCGAACGAAAGGTCACTTTGGACAGTAAGATACTTAGCCTGTTCCAAGTTTGTCAATTTTAGGGTATTAATAGTAATCAAGAAAATAATGACTTACCTCCACTTTTTTTGTGCTCTTTGAAAAATCTTTGAAGGGTGCCTTATCCCTTCTTGCTATAAACTGTGCAACGGGACGAGCGGGTGAAAAATCGAGCGTGGCCGCAAATAAAAAAGGGGGGACTAAAAAAGAAAGAAAGAAAGGAGGCCCTCCTTGCAGCCCGGGTGTCAGTCTCCTGACGTAGTCAATCGGATAAAAATCAACATCGGAAATCGATCGATATCATCGATATTAATTGACTTAATCCACCGATTAATATTGATTGATATTGGAAAGCAATAGAAATCGAAGTCACAGAAAAAATAATTTATCGATCATTATCGATTAGCAAGATCGATAACAGTCGATAGAAATCGATAGTAACCGATAATAAATCATTATCGATTTCTATCGGAAAATCGTCGATGTTAATCGAAGTCAAAACTTTTTCTCTTTACCAATTTCGATTGATTGATATCGGATATATCGATTACTATCGATTGATATCGGTTATCGGCTTATCGATTAACTACGTATATCAGTCTTCCCCTTCTCGCCCGCCGGCTTTTTTCTTGCGTTTCCTCTATTCTTTTTCACTTGTCCAGGCGGGTAAAACGCGCCGATGGGGTTTTCCTACGAACCCTTTTTTTTAAATTAAAAAAACTCGGTCCAGTTGTGTGAAAATTATGGTAAAGTTTGATATTATTGATTGATTATTGGCTCAGATGCAAATTGCTTGCAAAAAGCCTTGCTGCGCGCGCCAGGCGGTTCTAATAACGGACTGCGCCTCTGCAAAAGCTATATCACGTACGATTCAATTTTTGCAGGAAAAAGACAACGCGCAGAGGAACAGACATTAAAACTGACCGAAGACGTGAAAACAAACGGCGTAACTGAACTGCTTAAATTTAATAAAGTCAATAAAGGTCTGTAGACTGCAGAGGAGAGAATTGAAGATCACACTGATATGAGATGGTGAATGCTTTTTTATGTCAAGTTTTGATCCGAAACGAACCCTCTTTGCACACTTACCTTGCTTTTTTCGACATTGCTGGGGTACGTCACGTTGCCATGTTATGGCATGGGTTACGCACTTGGCACACAAGTGAAATAATCTTTCTCTGGTTGCGATATAAAGTTACTCAGATATACGACTCAAGTGTGGACTGCGTTTCGATAAAAAACAGCAGAACACACAAGAGTCATCAGATGGCTCATTGTCGCATCTTCGTTAATGATTAACGATTTTCAAACAATTAAACGTCAAGTCATTAAGAGCATTTATTATTGTTCTAATAAGGGGCCAAAGTAATTGAGAAATATAATTCATCATTTACGGCCATTTGTTGCTGGAATACACCAGTCATACATTTGGCATTGTTCCCATACACAACGACCTTGACTGTACCACTTTTTAACGCGCGCCGTTTTCCACATGACCTGAATCGCATGTGAATTTTGGTCAGAGGCCGATCATTATTCCAGCCCACCTAAATTCGAATAGGGGCAAAAATGCGCATTTCGGTTCAAACCTTTGAAAAATCTATCCCGGGTGAGCTGACCTAAATTTCTAGCTGTTTCGAATTGATTCAGATGCCATGCATGTTGAATTGGATTCGATTCGCATACCATGCCTTGGTTGGGTCGCAGTTTTAATTCTCAGTTTTTGTACTGTTTATTTTGTGTAGAGTGAAAAACTGAATTACTCCTCGATCAGTGACACGTTTAATTTTTTGTCGTGTTAAAATTGACAGGTATCACTCTAAAGACCTCAATACGTGACTATCCCAAAGTTTAATATATCTTGTGTGTTAATTGTGGGATGAAGAGTAACACTCTTACATTACGACGTCAGGACAGTATGCCAGCTAACGTTCTTGTCTAAAATATAATTGAAAACCATGCAACCTAGTGAAATGTACTTGAATCGTAAAATTTTCTTTTTTATGGTTCATCTGGTAACATATGGATTTGCGAAGTTTACTTGTTGCTTAACTAACAGTGAAGTACCAAATATTTTTAACCTTTCTTTTTAAGCCCGTAATTCATTAGTTATGACTCCGTTTTCCTGCCCCGATACAAAAATCAATTATTGCAGACACCAAAAAAAATAAATAAATGAATAAAAATTTTATTAAACGGACGGCAAAACTTTTTCAACAAATGGCAGATTTCCAAAGTGCCTTCTTTTAACCAACTACCAACCAATTTCGTGGTTTAAACTCCTTATCATACATCACGATACTCCAAAACAATAGTGAAACAAAGGGAAGTAAAATTTAAACCAAGGATTAGATTCTTGCCAACTCATTTAGGTGCAACTCAGTTTAACTGGCAAAAAGAAATTTCTTCTTACTGTACATTTCACCCAGGTCACCTCATTTCGTCTTTGCCTGTTATGTCTGCAGTCTTATAGTAGTTCTGAGTAGCTTGCTTCAGCGCACTTAAACGTCTTTCATACGATTAGAATTTCCCGAAGACAACATCAGAGGCTTCTGCAAAGTTTGTACGTTTTACTCTCCTTGTAACACCGAAGTATCACAGAATTTCAGTTTCCTCAATTTCAGACTTGTTGTCAAGTAACACACAGTTGTATATGACTATGGCACCTCCGAAATTGATAATTCTTCAATCTGCTGTTCAAATAACTTGTAAACAACACAAACTACTCAGTCTGAAAACGCGTTGACTACTTTTTACACATCCGCAAATATAATTTATTGCATCAACAGTACACTCTGTGAGAAGATCTACACAAATAAAGCAGCCCCCCAAAAAATGCAACCACTCCCGCCTCATGTGTATTGGGGACCTTTACGCCAAGGTAATTTAGCCCCTTTTACAGCTTCATTCGTACTACTGCAGTAATAATCGCCGACGATCATGGCAGTATTTCATGTTAGTGTTGAAAATTTACGTATAATTTAGCTGAAATTTTAACTGGTATGTTAATCCTGATAATTTAGCGAAGGTTCACAGCATTTTTTCAATCTTGACCTTAGATTCCATTTTACAGTTCAGGCCCCGGTTGTCCAAAAGTTGGATAGCGCTATCCACCGGATAAATCACTACCCAACTTTTTCCGTGGTAAATGACCCTTTTACCGCGGAAAATGACCCTTTAGCGCGGGAAATTGACGTGGTGTGTGTGACCGGACTTTCCCGAGATAAATTTACCACGGGAAATATCCATGGTTACATCAGAAAGAACAAAGAAACCGCCCACGACATTTAACGTGGTAAATAGCTAGGGTTTCATAAAAGGAAAGAGAGCAATTAGGTTTCTTCAATTGACACTAACATAAAACCGCAAAAATGATTATTTCTCTGATCAAACAAATCAAATGCTGTAACAGTTATTGAGTCTATTAACACCTGAATAAGCAGTGTTGCTCGAGACAAAATATTTGGGAGAGAAGAGAGCTGAAGTTCAGCTGATAGTTCGCGTAAGACTTTGAATTGAGCCAGTCTATGCCTGTAAAACAGGTCCAGCTTTCTTTGCCTCCAGCTGTACACCAGCCCCAGCAAATCCCGTTCCACCACGCTGCAATGGAATGATATCACTGTCCTTCAGCTTTGCTCCAGTAAATGGGCAAAGCATGTCTTTCTTGATTAACTTCTCAACACAGTCCATAGTTACGACATGCCCCGTGTTCTTTAAAACAGCACAAGGTACGGAATTACCCAGTGTATCGTGAGTGACGGCACATTTGTATCTCTCAGACTTGGCTACCATTGGCCGGCCATCATCTTTGTCATCTATTGGCGTCAGTTTAACAGCCACCAGATCCTTGATTTTTAAAGGTTTCCCACTCATTGGACAGTATGTCTTGGTGTCTGGTTTTTTGAGGAGTGTTGGTTCTGCTTGTGGCGTTAAGGAAGGAACCCAGAAACTTGGAAGACTTTTGTCTTTGCCTTTTGAAGTGGTACCTGTAGTTAACAAAAATGATGAAAGAAATCTATTACGTAAACATACTAAAAACAAATAATATGGCAAAAAAGTACTCATTGTCCAAGAGGGATTTTGACACACACAAGGCAAAATTACAGAAATTCTTCAAAGAGATTAATTTACTCCCCTGTGCTTTTGCAACGTGTCATTATAGCTTTCATGCCTCCAGAAATAATCTTCAACTTACCACAACAGTGAAAAAAAAAATAGAACAACAAAAAGGGAAAGTCAGAACAGGAATTCCTTTTCACACTACATTGTACGAAGGCTCGAAAAAAGTCCAATTTGGTCATCTGGGAAGAGTAGATTTTCTTGCAGGGCTAGTAGTTTTTCAAGCTCACTTGCTTAACTTGTGGGTAAGGCTGGGTCCAGTACAGTCATCCTTCAGCCAAATTATTAACTAATACATGCAAGTAGTTGGCCTGGGCAAGCAAAACACAAGACCTGCTTGCCCAAAGGAAGTGCTGGAATTCAAGTTCTTTTTATGCACTGAGTAGCATGTTTAAAGCAACAACCTACTCTTATTTCCCTCCTCCTTCTTGTTTCGACCCTTATTTCACTCAATTGGTTATGTAACGCATAACTCATAATACTTATATTAGTGGCTCAGCCTTTAAATCTGATGAAGACATCCCTAGAGAGCAGCCCTCTAGAGATCGACTTCATCAGATCCAAAGGCAGAGAGCAGCACCAAGATTTTCACTGACAGAGCTTCAGTAAACTGATTTTTCTGGTGAGTCAATGCAACAACTGGACAGGACATTTAAAATTACCCCGTACTATCTGCAAACCATCTGTCATCAGGGATTGGTACTCTCTTTCCGATTGGAATTTGTTTTGGAGTCAAGTAAAAACCGAAAAATTGCAAAACAATAATTATTATTGCCAAATTAAATAGTTTATTTCTTGTGAGCATTTTTTAAAAATAATGCCTTAAAAGGACCTTCCTGGTTCACCAATTCCGGTCACTCCCCCGGCCGTAAATCTACAATACCATTTTAATATGGTAAAAAAAAAGAGACTGTATTGTACAAATCAAACTAGCTTCTGCTTACAGTTGGGAAGTTTGATTTATGTAATACAGTCTGCAGATATAATTTTTTGGTGTGGTTGAGAGACCTGCACCATGAAAATCAGGACATTATCATTTTCGCTTACCATTTGATGTTGACGGTGTTTGATCATCCACCACAGAAGAAGGTCCAGCAGCGCTTTTTTCCTTTGTCACAGTGAATGCAGAGGTTGTTTTTGTAGTGAGTCGTTTTTCCATGTTCACAAATGATTCCACCTTCGATCGCTCCTTCTCCTCTATTTTCCCAAGCTCTTCAGCCTCTTGCTTCTTCTTTTGTTTCTCGAAAGCTTTCATTTTCCTCGCAGCTTCGGTTTTCTGATGAAGAAGACATTCTAATATAGCTTCTCTGTCGTATAAGAAGCCGTCTGGAGTGACGACTGGTTCTCGGCAAGGCTGAAGAGTGAGCGAGCAACAGTCGAAACTTTTTACTGAATCTTTACCCAATCGCACAGCTTTACTGCCATATCCGGACTTCTGAGTATCTTTCTTTCGTTCGTGATAGGAATAAACTGTCCCTGCGGTACAATTTTTCGCGTGCCTTGTCATTATGGATTGCTCCAAAGTTTTCGAACAGACGAAGAAGATGGCGGCGTTAGTTTCGCCGTGGCGTGGATCCTAAGCCCGACGTGGCTCCTTGGCAAGGGAGGGGTAAGATATAAACTAATTTTGAACATTTGTTTATAAATGCTCGGAAAATTTAGACATTTCTTCACTTAATGTTGCTATAAAAAAAACGCCTTAAAATATTTGCTTCAGTCGACGTACACTTAAGCTGTTGACTGATACAATTTCAAGTACTAACTTCGCCTCTTTGTTCCCCACCCCCACCCCGCCTACCACTCTCCGTTCAAGATGGCTTCCAGAAGGTTGTTTCATGTCGCTCGTGGATTATGCGGGCTTCGTGCAACGCACTCCAATCATCGTTTCAATCTTGCTAGAGCCTATTGCTCAGGTAAGTCTGAAGTATCTTTTTTATGGTTACAATTTATTTCCTGTCAAGAAAACAACCAACAAATTGTCGCCTTCGGATCAGTCGATTCAACGGTACTTACGAAGGGTTTGGGGTGAATTATGGTAAGACATTGTTTGTGTGGATTTGTCCCGTTATTTTTCTCTTGATACTTAAGGACTTCATAATTTATAGTAATGAGAAGAAGTACAAAAAATAAGATTGAGGGTTACTAATCAACCAGCTGTTTATCCCATGGGCCATTCCATTTTAGATACAACCCCTCCCCCTGCCCCCTCCGCGGTAACGAAGTAGTTTGAAATTTCCTAACCTTTTAAAAAACCTCGTTTTTTCCCAAATGGCTCAGCAACTGCATTGATAAATACATGTGTAATAGCTAATAAATAATTTTTGCTTTTGTGATACTTCCCCTCAGAGAATCTGTTGTTCAGTCCTACAAGACCCTACAACCTTCAGTCGAAATACCAGTTTTTTTTTTAATTCCCCTTCCTTAAATTTTATTGATTGGGGTGGGGGGGGGGCTATATTAAATTAAACACCCACCAGCGTGGAACTCAGGCAATCAAAGGGGCTTTTGTTGAAAATTATCAGGGCCACCACGGGGGGATACTCCGGATTCAAGTGATACCTTGCCGAATTTCTGAGTGGTAACAAGTGTGGATATACTTTATTCGCAGAACTACTCTGTACGTGGCTAGGAAAGGTGGGCACTACCACAAATCTTCAGTTTGGTTTGAATGCCCCAAAAAATCCCTACTTAAATTAAGCCACCCAACAAAAATACTTGCCACATTTTCCTGCCCCCTAAAAAACCCAGAATCAAAAATTTCAATCCTGTGTTGTCTTAAGCTAGCTTCAAACAACTCAATAATCTTTGGTTATGTAGAAAAGTGTTTCACTGGAATTGTTATCAACAGATATACACTGAGTCCACCTCCTTTATGTACCTTGTTTGATTTTGAGTTCGATTCCCTGATGTGACCTCAAATCCTTTATAAAGAAGCTTTAAATACCTGTAAACTGCAGCATTTTATAGAGAGACGAGCAGTAAAAGACCATTCTACTGTTTTTTCAACTTTTAAATGGGACCAATAAGGCCTGGTTCAGATGCCATGCATTTCATGTGCCAAACCTAATTGAATAAGTTTGACTTTGGAGCAACACTGGTGTGTCATGTGATTCAGACTATGCACCGTGTGTGGAGCCTAAGTTAAGTTTGACAGACTCTGTCAAAACACTTTTGAAGCACCAAACTAAAACTGCCGTGCCTATTTGATTCAAACACTGCTCTTTTGCCAGACTTAATTCATCAGTTAGGTTCAGCACATGAGTGGAGCAGTGTCTGAACCAGGCCTTAGCAAAAATCCATCAAAATGGCTGAAAAAAAAATGCCTTAAAACAAGCATATGTACTTTAGATGCCAAGTGTGAATGTGACTCGTTAGAAAGTAACAAAGAAATAGCGCTCCAAAGTCTAATTTTACAGGTGCTTGTTTGGTTGGGGGGGGGGGCAGGGGTGAGAGGGGGGGATTGGAAGTTTGTGCCCCCCTCCAAACAAATGTCTGTAAAATTTTGCAACTTTGTGGAGCAATAATCTTCACTTGCATTTAACACACAACCTTTAAACTTGGTAAGTTTCCTAATTTTAAGGTGCTCTTTCCAGCAGTGTTATGCATATTTGCTAATTGGTCTCATCAAAATTTGAAAAAAAAAAACGTTTTAAGGGTGTATTGAGCACACCTTTGGCCTCTTGTTTGTCGTCTATTGAGTACTGTTACAAGTTACAGGCGTAACGCTTATTAGGATCTTTTTAATATGCTTGTCATCCAAAAAGATAAATTTTTTACAATATTCGGAATCACTTGTCACCTAATTCCTTGCATTCCTTTAAATGAGTCTGATTGATTGGGTATTTTTTGGACAAATGCCCCATGGTCCAGATCTTTTCAGGCTGAATTCACACTTTAATGGTCAAATTTAGTCCCTTTTGCAGAATAAATACCAGTGGTTTTTTCATTGAGCTCCTAGATAAACTAACAAATAAATGGGTTATTATATTACAGCTAAGAGTTTTGAGATGATTAAAGCTGAGAAGAAGGGAGAAAACCAAAGTGTTGGCTTCATTCAGCTGAATCGACCCAAGGCACTGAACGCTCTGTGTGATCAGCTAATGGCTGAAATGCAAGACGCTTTAGATGACTTTGAAAATGACAAAACTGTAAGTGCTATTGTCATTACAGGAAGTGAGAAAGCTTTTGCTGGTAAGTGTGGTTTGATCCATAAAGTATCCATATGCAACCTATGCTAGCCTGCAGTAAACCTCTTCATTTGCTTGGAATTTCTTGCCTTTCTTCCCCTTCTTACCCTGCTGTATAGAGCCTATCCTCAGGCTTAAACCCAATGGATGGCTATTGGAAATTTCAAAGGGAAGGGAGGACTTAAAGAGAACAATTTTTTTATAGTAAACAGGGTGCAAAGAAAGTCAGTTTTACAGCTTGAAACTCTGATTAGGTAAGCTGTAGCTAGCATACACTAGCCCAAAAGTCATTTCAACTAGCCTGAAAAAAATTGATGAGCAGGATTGATTACAGTTCTTCTCTTATTTGAATTCCTAAAAAAATATCACTTGCCCGTCGGGCAAGTTAAAAACAGAATTCACTAGCCCAGTAGCAAAATCCACTAGCCCCAGGCTATCGGACACTACTTTCTTTGCACGCTGGTAAAGTATCACTGGAATTGCCAGTGATTATTTGAAAAGCTAAGTTATATTTTCGTTTTTCTACTTTTGTATTGGTCCTTATTACTACAAATAACTGATGATTGTGGAAGGTAGACTGTTAAATTATTATATAGTTTTGTAGTGAGTTTGTCATTAGAAAGCAGAAGCAGTACAACAGAGATTAATTTTTCTTTTCCCGTTTTACCTTCTCCTCATGTTACAATCCTCAGCTGGGGCTGACATTAAAGAAATGCAGAATTTAACATATCAGAAGTGTCTTCTTGGAGATTTCCTTGCTCACTGGACACGAGTGGCTAGATGCAGGAAACCTGTTATTGCTGCAGTCAATGGATTTGCTGTAAGTTTCAGTCAAACCCGTCCCTAAGATACAGACACCATACTGATACACAGCAAAAGTCTGTATAGTGTTCCCCCTGTCTAGTTACTGCAAGTATTTTGCTGTGTCCTCACTGGTTCTACAAGGAAACCAGTTCTACATGATTATCCACATTTATGCTTTGTTAAAATATTAGGATGCTCACCAAAGTTAGAGCTGGCCAGCCGGAACAGTAATTTTGGGAATAAAATGGGCTTTCTTTAGAGCACTTATACTAAAAACCCATTACAGCGGTGCACACATGTAGTGTTTAGGAAAGGACTGATTTCATTTGGCTTAACAGTCCCGATTTTCTAAATCTGCTTACAGCCGGTCTGCTTTGATTGGCCCAGTTTTGATTTATGGAAAGTGTTGAATATTGTTTTTCCTTCTTATTTGCTTAAACAAAAGTAATTAAAGGCGACTTACAACAAAGTGATTGTCGGTTTAAATTATAGCTTGGTGGTGGGTGTGAACTGGCCATGATGTGTGACATCATTTATGCTGGAAACAAAGCCAAGTTTGGTCAACCTGAGATTTTACTGGGAACCATTCCAGGTTTGCCTTAAACAGAACACTGATTGTTTTTTCACTGACTCCTGCGGGAACCAAGAATCAGTATTCACTTACTTACTTAAAACCAATCTTTATGGTGTAAAATACCAAAACTACAGTTAGTACCATGTAAGAAGTTATGCATCTCCTAGGGGCTTTAATTTGAATGTTCTGACCCTAACTAACCGTTGTTGGCTCATATGTTTCGACGTCTGTGATACGTTTTGGTCTTATATTTGGTTATCGTTTCTTCCCTCACTCGGTACTTACAGTGTACTTACGTTCTTGCACGAGTAACTTGTAAGTAGTTGCTTTTTTCACCGTTTTTATGACGTTGTAAAGGCGTTGGTCTTATTTATTTACGTATTTTGGCGTAGTTATAAGTTGTTAGCCCTTTCAATCCTAGACCGACTTATAGGGGGATGAATTGTGAGCTACAACTTGGCTGTGGACGGAATCCCTTGTTGTTATCATTCAAATGAAACCTCTTTGGTGCTATTTATTTCAGTCTTAGGATTTTACGAAGGAATTTTTCATAAATGTTTCTCATTGGGCACTATTATGGACAAAGGGTTAAGATTAGATATATCGGTTGCGTAGCGACGGAGTCAAAGTCGTAGTCGGAGCCTAAAATAAGAAGCGTAGGTTGTTATTATCTAACAACTTTCTGATTCCGCTTATGCCACCGTTGTTTATGATCTAGTAAAAACTAGGATGTGGGAGTCACATGCAGAAACGAACCCAGCCACCAGAGCTTAAAGGAGGCTCTCTTGATAGGGTTGCAGAAGCGGAGCAAACAAACCAATCACAAAGCACAAGAATGAACACCGTGATTGGCTCGTTCTTCCGCTTTTGTCCCCCCCCCCCCCCGCCCCGACAATTTTCACTAAATCGTTAATGACGGACACATTAAGCGAAGCCGCAAGGAAACTAATGGAACTTAGGCTGGGTATCAAGTGTTTCTGCATCTTTTTTTTCGACTCCGATTCTGTCGCGCTTATGAATCCGCGTTCTTTCGACTTAAGTGCTTTGCGACTCCTACTTTTACTCGGTCGTTAGTGAAAACCAGCCTTTAGGTTTTGGGCTAATCTCCCTACGGTACACGGAGTGTTACAAACGTTTTGGCAAAAGTTTTGGTTTCCAATTTTAGCAGACCCCGCAGCCCAAGAGCTTATGCTGTCATATTAGATATAGGAGTTATTAAAAAAAAGGCAAACAAAAGAATTAGGAATACTTTTTAGAATTGCATATGGGTCTCCAACTGACTCGCGTCTTTACGTATTTTAAGGTGCTGGTGGAACTCAACGTCTTCCAAGGGCTGTGGGTAAATCACTCGCCATGGAAATGATTTTAACAGGGAATCCTATAACAGCAGAAGAAGCACAAAAATCAGGTAACTTTTGTTCCGAGTAATAGTGGCTGCCTTGGGTCAATACATGAGTCTGTAAAAGGGTTATGAATGAATGTTGCTAGTGTGTTTAGTAAACGAACGCTGAGCTATCTAAGTAAATGATACTGATGGGCAGCCCAACTGGCAACAGGTAGAACTGTGAGCCATATGCTTGGCGACTGAAGACATGCAAGAGCGGTACTTCGAGCTGGAAACTTCTGAAGGCCGACGCCACTTTAATTACTACGTCATACTAACTTCTACTGGGTCAAGTTCTGAAAAAGAGAAAGGGGATGTTATAGCGGGTAAGAATACCACACTGCTACCCGGGATGGTTTGGGTGGGAAGGGCCCGCGCGCGAAACATGGAAGCGATTTGTGAAGATTTTCACTCACAAAAATAATCTCATGTTTGTTTTTTACTAACTCGATACGTCAGTCAACTTAATTCCGTTGACAAAATAAGTTAAATTCCATGTGCCTCACTTCTCACAGCATTTTTCATTCTGTCGAAGCCTTCTGGCTACCGAGACGAGTTATGACAATTGCAATTTTTTTGACCTTTCAAAGCAAATTGAAAGTGAATTTTTTCCGTCATTTGTAGGCCTGGTTAGCAAAGTGTTTCCCGCTGAAGAGGTTGTGAATGAAGCCATCAAGACAGCGGAAAAAATATCTAGTTTATCAAAGATTGCTGTGCAAATCGCCAAAGAAGCTATTAACACAGGTACTACAGGACAATCAATTGTCTGTTAGAGCCGGGCAAATGTAGTGCCATTTTGGTTTCTGAATTTTCTACAGTGAAGCAGCCTGGTTTGAAAGCTATACTTTGAGCCACTGTTAAAACATGAGCCACGCCCAACCCACAATTCTCTGCTTCGCTTTAAGGAAGGTCTAGCACTCTTACAGCCTATAGAGATGCCATGATAGCAAAATCTTTGGATGACAACAAACCAAAAATGGGCAATTTACGGCTGCTAATTCACCTGTTTCAACTAAGATGACAAAAATTTTCTTACTCCTCTACCGACTTAATCGCACGGTTTGTTTGTTTGTTGTTGTTTGTTTTAACTACCGGTAATTCCAATTTTCTTGTTTTTGTCAGTAAACCAACTAGAAATGATTCGCTGCTTTCTTTGTTTTAGGATATGAGACTTCTTTATCAGAAGGTCTGCACTTTGAGAAAAGAATGTTCCACTCAACATTTTCGACGGTGAGTACTGATTTATGATGTTTGAATATCTCTTATTACCTGGATCAGAGACTTTAGTGGAGAGGAAACTATTAATTTCCCTGTTGTAAATCAGGACACCTCATCATACGGACAACTTTGTGACCCCTACATACCTTTTTTTTTTTCTTCGGGGCTAACTCTGTAAAAGATTAACAGTTTTACTTTTGAAATATAAATATTTGCTTTCTTATGCGTTTTTTTTTTTCAGGAGGATCGTAAGGAAGGGATGACGGCCTTTGTAGAGAAAAGAAAGGCAGAATTTAAAGACAACTGAACTGGACTCGTATCATCTTAAGCCTTATACAAATATGGTTTTCCGTGGAGTGCATGAGGGCTGAGCACATCACTAGAAATACTGTCTTGTGGTGAAGCTTTGTACGCTTCGGTAGTTAGGCGGGAATAGTGCTGTGTGGACCAACATCACCCGCGTTTTTTATTATAATGATAATAAACAAATTTTGAAAAGCTGCCTCTTTTTGTCCTTCAGTTTGCGTCTGCTGATGCCGTTTTGTTGTCAGACCCATTCGCTGTTTTTTTTACAACTCTACACAGAATTGTCCTTTTTAAAGTGTGTGCGGTTACGAAATTTTACCGTAAAAAACGTTCCAGTTATGTTAGAGACAAAGTTTCCAACAGACTATATTTTAATTTAGGCGTAATCATCATTGTGGTGCTGTAGAACTCCTCCCAAGTCAGATTGCCGGCAGTAGAGCTGTAAGATCGTCCTGTTTCAAATACTACTCTGAGCTTGTATCTGGGGTTTCTTACATTTTTTGGTTACTAAAGCTGCGTTCAATCAATGACTGGCTGTTCATCCTCCTCGAGTCAGCTGATTCGTTTTACTGTTAACTAATAATTGGACTGATGTAAGCAGTCCTTTGAAAACGACACGGAAAATCATAACAATCTGTGTATTACATAGCAAGGGCAACTAAAGTTATCCACACTACTTAGAAATGAAGTTGGTGGTACGTGTCATGTCATGTAGTTTGATCAGTTTGATGTTTTCTTTAAGTATAACGATGGAACTTTACTTATAAGCGGCTCTCGTGTTCCAGTAGGATAGTACAACAAAGAATTACCCCAGTCCGGAAAAACAAGAATGAAAGGCCTGTAAGACAGAAAAAGGGTGGGACCACTGACTCGAATACATATAATGTCATCAAGAGCGGTATAGAAAAGATAAGTTAACTGATAATACTGGCAAATTTTAATAATCCTATAGAATGTTTAACCTTAAACACTTAAGTAATGGTTCGCGTAAGAACTACTGTGAAAACAATAGGCAGGGTGCAGCAGGAGCCGTTTGAGTTTCCAGGCTGATCCAATTAATTTTACGATACTGATTGGTCAAATAGTCAGTGAGCGCGAAATTCAAATTATAATGTTAAAATGTAGGAATTCTACAAAGGTTTGTTCCCAAAATCAAACTGTTTTACGTTTTTAATACCCATGTTTATGAGCGCCTTTCGGAGAAAATCGTATGTGCGGAACCGTTTTTATGCATTTATATGCATTAAAATGCATATAAATGGTTCCGGGGAGAAAATTTGAGATCAAGGGAAACCATGTTAACTAGTTTTCCCAAGGGAACAGTTACTAACTAATTTCTGACATAGCCCCACGAGAAAAAACTCTTAAGCTACGTGTACGAAACTCACGGCGAAAGTAAATCTTAGCCTGCGAGCAGAGATTTCTCCCTTGCTTGGCTTTTATATTAGCTTTAACGAAGTCGTTCGCTTGGCTTGTGAGTCGGGTAGTTGGTTTGTTCGCGACAGACAAGCCCCGCGAATGACTCCGTAAACGCTTTAAGTGAGCCACGATGCGAGAGAATTGCAAGATAGAAACCTCTGCTCAGAGGGTAGTAAATCTTAACGTGCGGTCAACATTTCCCACCTGTTAACTTTATAGTGAATTTTGCCTGCTCAGAGAATCAGAGACCTTTGGCGGGAAAACGTTTTATTGCTGAATGTCATGTGACCTCGAAATAACCAATGAGAGCGTATGCCGTTGTGGAAAACATTCCTCATTGCTGGGTCTGCCGTGTACAGGGCGTGTAGTACTCATTGAAGGAAGATGTCGTGGTTCGTGCTCACTAATGTGGCGAAATCTTTTTAGTTTAGCGCTCGTAATCATTAGACCTTCCTGCCGCTTAAGCTCTGTGTTGCTAAAAATTAATTGATTGATGCCTTATATTCACTTATATCTTACACTTCCACCGAAAACAGAAATACTGCGATAAGTATAAATTATTTTCCAGGGATAATTCTTGCTAACGCTCTCCATTATTTGAAGCTCTTAATTTGCACTAAGTTAGCTAACATGCAAATAATGCATTTTTAAAATTTGTAACTCTTATGAGTTGATTAGTCAAGGACTCTAAAATATGTTTTTATCCTGACAAGCTAAGAACTTCTAAGTTTCTTCGATTTGTTATTTAAATGAGGGAAAGAAACCGACAACTGAATGCAGAACGTTCGTTTATTAGGACTTATTAAAGTTGCATGCAATACATGAGACTTGCTAGGATTCACAGCATGAAATAATCAGTATTCGGTCTATTACTCAGGCGGAATTCATTAAGAACATAACTCCTAGTCCCATATACGAAAAATGCGAAGTGTGTAAGTGGCAGCTCAGTATAACAGGCATAAATGCTAAGAAAATTAAGGGGATCTTATACACCTGTTCATGTTATTATTACTCACCAAAAGAAAACAACATCCTTACACGTTGGTGAACATAACCATCCATTTTAAGATAAAAATTAAAGTAATGCTTCCATGAATTTAAATTATTAAAATCATCATAAATCGCCTTAATTAGGTGGCATCAAATCGTGTACCTGTTGAGCTCAGATAAAAAAGGTAATTAGAAGTTTTGCGTCTGTCCCTCAATAATTCTTGTTCGTGTAATGTTATCTACTCAGACGCTTCATTACTCACTCGGTATGAATTGTAGACGTTAATTAATTGGCAGTGTCTTTAGCTTATAGTGGTAATGCTGTTTATTTTAACACTCTATCTGCGGGACTAGCATTTAGCATCTTAATTGTCGCTCACTTTATAGCTAAAGGATCTTATTGTTGCACGCAGAACACTATGATCAAGGTTGTTTTGTTGTATAGAAAGTTAAAGTTAATGCACCGGAAGAATAAATTATAGGAAAAAAAACTCCCACCACTGAATTTTTAGTCACTAGACGTATGATGGATTACTTCAATTGTTTCCAAGTGCTTTTGATTCTTTTGATTGAAATCTTCGAATTAATGTTTTTATGCCTGGTGCGGCATGGCACGAAGGCATTACAATAATCCTAAAGCTTGGTGTTGGTCAGTGTCGACTTTAGTTTTGCTATATAGAATGTTTCGCCGCAACTAAAACACTGATAACACAATTTAGGCTTTTTCCGGAGGTCTAAATATCCTCCAGGTGCCCATTTTAATACTTCTGAAAAGAAGTATTTAGCCATATTGTACAGCCTGTGTAGCCTGGGTGGACGGGGTATTAAATGACGATCGCCATGTCTGGTTTGTCTATAGTCAGTTTCTGACTATAGACTGACGGGTCTTGGCTGAGTACTTCTGCGGAGAGTCCCATTTTTTTCTGGAAATAAGTGAATTTTAGTGCAATGGTTAGTGGTTTTTATTAGTAGGCGGCCTTCAGAAAAAATAGTTCTATTCAACTTTTTTAGAAGTGGTCCCTTTGAGTTTAATATATGCAGTTAATCCGTTCAAACTATATAATTTACAGTAGCACTTATGAGACGTGAATTATTTAATGGTCTTGCCCTGTTTTAATTTACAAAATTAATTTGGTCCCTTTTATACTATAATTGTCTTAAAAACAAGGGTGAATTTTCTGTAGATACAGTTTCCGTGCAATTTTCACTGTTAATACGTAACAGAATGAATTGGCAAAACTTCTTGTATTTGATATTTTCCGTCAATAAACTCCTCTGGATGGAAATCGTTCAAGGAACTGGTACGTTACATAAGGTTTATTTTTCTGCTCTTAAACATATTTTTCTTTCTTGATCATGTACAAGGTCATCCCTTTTCGTTAGTGGCATCCCATAAAAATTTTAAACAGGTTGACTGTACTGCGTAAAATGTGACCTTTCTTGACATCTTTGCGAGACTTCTAAATGCATGACACCGATAGAACTTGTAATACAGCGGGTTTGCGGCCATAGCCAGCTATTGGTACTTAGACTACGAGTAGTCCCCCATTTTTCCTCAGGGATAGTAGAGCGGGCGAAACGCGAGCGCGCGTGAAAATCAACCCACGCGAGAAAAGGCGACACGCCGCGTGTTGCCTTTTCTCGCGTGAGGTGATTTTCACGTGATCATGATGATGAATCACAAGGTATTATGATAGATTAATTATAACCTAACTTTCTCATATGTTAGAGATCACTCTACCTAAAATACTCCAAAGCAGTCTTGAATTCTGGATTCCCTTTTCGTGGAACTCGGATTTCGGATTCCCTGTTAGTGGAACTGGGATCCCGGATTCCACTTGTTAGCAAGGTTCTGGGTTACTTGAGCAGCCGCGTTCCGGATTCCAAAACCTAGGAGGCACTTTCCATAAGCGAAAATTTCCCAGACTACCATTCACGGATGAGGAGATAGAGACATGTTAAAATAAAAGGTTGGGTGCCTCAAATATTCGTGCTAACCTCGCTGATTTACTACTTCTTTTGCTTTTTCTCTCTTTCTTTCTGTCTCTCTTTGTTTCTTTATTTCTGTTCTCCTTTTTTTCTCTTGGCAATTTGGACTAGGGTATATTGTAATTAACCTCTAGCTATTTTCTCATATTTTTTATCTCGCTAAACAGATGGCTGTCGAACGCTGAGGTTCAACCCCTCATTAGATGGCAAGTTTTTCGATGGCCATGTCATCGAAAGCAGCCAGGAAATAATGACGAAAGATGACTGCGAGCTTGAATGCTTTATGAACGCTGACTGTGTGTCGTACAATTTTGGCACCAACCAAACCGCGGGTGAAAAAAGGGGAACAGTGTGCGAACTGAGCGACTCAACTGCCGATATACACCCTGGCGATGTTAAAAATAGAACTGGATTCAGTTATACACCAGCTGAGGTAAGACTGCTTTCGACCCCTAACTCTCAGTAGGCTCTATTGTCTTCCATAGTTAACCCAAAAAATGAGAGATAACATGAAGCTGCATCAACAACTGCCTTGCCAAAGTGGTCAAGCGCGTTGAACTGCATTGCAACGCCTATAATGAGTCACAAAACAGGGGACACCCCTAAGACGGGGGCAAGTGTCCCTTGAATAGAAGTTGGGCTGGGGTTTTTTCATAATGAACCAACAAAGAAAACATACAGAAATCATCATTAACTTATATCCCTACGACATTATACGTTGAATTCAAGCAATTACTTTTCATCGATTTAAGTGAGATAGTAAAGTTTGTGAAAGCTTCCACATTTTTTATTAGTGCACAACTGAAGATATCAACCCTCTTTGTGATCAGTCACACTTTGAGAGCTAAGGTGTCCCCTGAATGGAGGTTAAACTCAGGTTTTCGGACCCAGAAAAAGTGTCCCCTTCCCCTGAATAGAGGTGTCCCTTCAATAGAAGTAACAAAATAATACAAAGATTATGTGAACATTTTTCCGGGACCAAATTTTGTGCCCCCTGAAAGGAGTTGTCTCTTGAATAGAGTTGTCCCAAACGAGAGGTTTCACTGTATTGCGATTTTGAGATTCAAAAGTCAAAAGAGAAATCCTCGATCTCTTGCTTTTATTATTTTGAATTTATAATGCCTCAATGATCTCTAACTGGGCTTAAGTGTGTTACTGAATTGTGGTATAATGATAGACTGTTTTGTCTCTGCTTTTTTAACAGAACACTTGTGTGGACAATTACTGCTCGCCGAATAGCCGCTGTCAAACTGGATTCACTGATCGCGGATACAGATGCGTGTGTGATACAGGCATCACAGGAGAATTCTGCGAAACAGGTTATCATATTAAGGCTGAAGATTAGGCTCATGTAATTCTTTTTTCGTCAGTATAGTAGGGTTACGAAGAATGGTGAAGCCTATATTAATTAACTTACTAACTTCACGTAAACTGGCCAAACGTTATCGCCACATCGATGCATGGATGTCCAAAAAGTTATCTGCGGCTTTAAAAAATTCGCAATAGAAAAGATAAAAAAATCAGCGAAGATCCTGCTACTGTTACCCCTTGACAAAGTGATTGGAATCCTTTTCTTCTCGACATGTTTTCTTAAATCATTTTGATAATTTTGGTGGTTTTATGTAACTTAGAGTTGGTCAAAATCCTAGGAGTTTGTAGCTGAAATTGCGCGACCGCAAAACAGTACCATGGTCGCTAGAGGCCTTCTCGTTCACCAGCAGCGAGAAGCGTAAAGGGAAAATAACACCCTTGGCATCCAGGTAGCATAACAGTGGAAATGAAAAAAAATTATTACTGATCGCATGACTAACAGTGCTGATTTTTTTTAGAAATTAGACTGGGTGAAAAAGCAAACCCTGGCAAATCGTGTAAAGACATCCTAGACAATGGGGCTGCTACAGACGACGGAGAGTACTGGATCGACCCCGAGAAACGCGGAAGGCCTTTGAAAGTGTATTGTGACATGACCACTGACGGAGGTGAGTGAGTGCTTGCGTTATCATCTCTATCTCTTTTACGCCAAAGAATCCCTCGAGATCCGTAGATAGACCCACTCTGATGCGTCTAATTCTTAACTCTCTAGTGCTCACAGCAAGCGTGAGAGCTTGTGACGGTGTACTCCGTGTCCATCGACAGATGTCCACCATATAGCTTCCCTGTGGCCTACCACGCCCTCTATTTCCAGGAACTCGTCCTTACATGATGGTGTACATGTTTGCCTGGCCGCCATGTCTAAGCTTATACGGATGTCTTATGACCTGGCCAAAGGATTTCAGTTTCCGCTCTTGCACTATTTGAATGGGGGATTTCTGTGTTAAATTTTCCACTGGCTCTTTTAGCGACTCGTTTGTGGGTTTGTCTATCCAAAAAATGTCCCTGATTTGCAGTTATTTTATTTACTCATTTGTTATTTTTTATGTTCAGGAGGCTGGCTTCTTGTTACCAACATTCTGGGTATGTATGAGACTGGTAGCATCCAGCAATCCTGGGCCCCTGCAAGTTCATACGACGAGATCAATAATTACAATTACGGTCAAAATGTGGGTATCACTGCCAGCGCCTTGGGTCGGCTGAGGTTGCACTTGAACTTCACTCAACTGAGATTCCACTGCAGTAAGCAACATGGGCGTACCTTCCACGTCATCACGGCCACCAACAGCAAGGGTGAAGCTGTAGTCCAGTACTTCAGCGGTCAGACTGACACACTTCCAGGTTCCTGCGACTCGTTTCGCAGGATGAACGACGATAACTCAGTGTTGGCTTTGAATTGTGCTCTATGGGGAAATGATGGCAGACAACATGTCGGAAAATGGGGACACCATGACAAAAAGGACGCTACATTTCGATTGTACGATCATGCGGCATTTATAGCTTCCAGTTATCACTGGCATATTGTTGGGGACTATTGGCTCTGTGATGATGCCATCAATCTCTTTACAAAATCTGCGAGAGATTTCTGGAAAATTTTTGTACGCTGAAGGACAGAGGTAACACTAAATGCACTCCTTTGCACTCTGAAGGGTGATATGATGCATAAGTATGACAATTGAGATGCCTTTATGTGTAGGCCGAGATTTACGTGTAAGCCAACTTCAACTTTGGATCACTTTAGTTTTGGTTTAAACGCATAGGTGACAGCCTCCTCCGCAGGCATCACTGTCCTGTTTCAGAGAACGGGCGAGAGAATGGGGAAGAGAACGTGAAGTGACAGTGACTCTTTAGATATGTATTTATTATTATTAAATATTGTTATGTAGTTATACTTTATATGTAACAAAAAACACCATGAATTTTTTTACGGTGTTAAAATAAAGATTTGAGATTCGAGATTTGAGACAATAGTGACAGGTAAACTCCTCCTCTTTAATTTTTCCTTTTCTCGTTCTCAGACTCCTCAAGGTCATTTTAACCCTTACAAAAGGAATTGCCTGCAAAGGAGGCCAGGAGTGATCCATTTTAGGGAGATGTCATTCCATAGTCAGTAAAAAGGCTAGCGGACTGGTTATGAAAGGTGGCAAATAACATCAAAGATGATGGGCACAATACTTTGTTCTCTTTTCACAAATTGTGAATGAATAATTTGATGTTACTTGCTTATTGGTCAGTAAGATCAAAAATAATGATAGGAATGCTATTGATCATGAACGTTGTGCACCGTCAGGTCCACGAAAAAAAATTATAGCAAAGGAGTCTAAAGGTCTCTAAAGCCTCGCGACTATTCCTCTCTATTATTAATCTATGTTGAACCTCATTCTTAGGTGAATGCTTGCGCTAATGTACGTGTTTGAGTCGCATCGGTTAACAAATAGATTTCTTATATATAAAATAATGCCGGAGCTCCAAGGTAATCTTAAAAATGATGACCGAACGCCTAAACGTTTTAAGCGGGAAGTGTGTTGTGGCCGGCGAAAGGATAAAGCTCTTCATGAGTTGATGACTTCTATTTTACTCAAGTGTTACTAAAGTTTTTACCATTGCTGTCAACCTACTTATAAAAATAAAGATTGTCGCCAAAACACAACGTTTAAACGACTTCAAGTCGCGGTTATTGTCGAGTGCGAATCTAAAAATTCAAAGTGATGTTCATAGATCGAATGTAAAGGAAAGAATAATTGTGGGAAAATATAGTGAAGAAAAAAAAATGAGAACACAAAAATATCAACAAGCGCAACGGAACGTTCACTTTGAATTTTAAAATATGGTTTAGTGTTACACTCTGTAAGAATTCGTAAGTCTCTAATCAACTTAAATAATCTTGAATATGTATTTCTTATACTCGTTAATAATTTATAATGAAAATACAAAGGAAATTAACGTTTGATGATTGTTCGGAAATCAGGTGAAAAACTGCTCATTTTTGCATTCTTAATTTCTCCTGCTAAAACAATTTTGTGTGAAAAGTGTTTCATCACCAGATGGGGCACCTCGAAGTTCGTAAAAAAAAAAAAACCCCGCTGCGCGTCGCATTTTTAACTCTCTTCTCACTGCACAGTGTTTCATCTGGTCATAAAACACTGCATCTCATGCTTTATTTATATATTACATATAAGACAACGAGAAAGCTCTCCTAATATATGTTAAAAGAGGAGAGGAATTTATAGCCTGGGTAGCACTAAACAACACTAGATTTGTAATATTTGGCCGTTAAAAACTGACCAATTTATTTGTTTATGTGGAAATGTAAAAACAGATAAAATTGCATAATCATTAGAAGTTTAACACACACACCTCTTGTAAATGGAGCCATAAGTCAAAAAAAGTCAAGTAAGAAAATCTAGAGCGATCAGGGCGCCACCTTGAAATTTTTTTACTTTGTTCAATTATAACGGTGTACCCATATAAATCGTTAAGAAGAAAACTTATTTTAAAAGTAAGGATATTGCGTGTAGTTAAAAAAATCTGCTAGAGTTCCTTTTTGTCGTTTATTTGAAACTGAAGATCTTCTGTTTGTAATACAAATAACAATGGTAATAATATACAGATTTATAAATTACCCGAACGTAAACTTAACTCTTACCCTTAATACAGAAAAGTAAATGCATAAATAAATGAAAAAAAAACAACAACTGGGCTCTCATAACTTAGTTAACAGCGATAAAAAAAATTAAAACATGGGCAATGCAACGCTTGCCAGAGAAGGGTAACAGCTCGGTGCTCGAAACAAGACCATGGAGTCGACCCCGATGTTGCTTCCTATTAAAAAATAATAATAACAAAAAATCTTTCGAAGTTTTCCCAAGCAATCAGCTCAGCAAACTAACTTCATAGGGTTTCATAGTTCAGTAGGTAGAGCACTGCAGCGCTAAAGCAACTAGGCCATGGATTCGAATTACTTAATTTGCAGTTACTTAATCGCGATTACTACGACAGTCATAACTTTACTTAGATTTTTATTTCCGCAATTCACATCAACTTCATTCTAAATTTTTCTAAAACACGGGGCGTTTAATCGAATAAATACGGTATAGCTAATGAGGAACTCTTCCCATATCCCTCGCCGACACGCGTTACGCGAAGACGACTGGGGACATGAGTCCGGGAGGAACACTGTAATTTCCCTTAAGCTTGTTAAAGACGGAAACCGCTATCTGTTGTGAGCGTCAAAAACTGAAGCGTTTGCTGAAAATATCGTTTAGTCTTTCGAAGTGATTCAAGGACAGTGTGAAAATTTCCCCTCAGTAAGCCTCAGCGAACATAGATTTTGAAGAAATCGCCTGCGGACATTTCATAGAATGTACCATCTGCATAGTCATCGCAGTGTATAAGTCCATTCACTTTAGCCCCGACATATCGGCTTCGGTAATCGAAAGCCACGTAGCGGTGCGTTCTTTTCGTAGTCGGTGCCAAAAACCCACTCCACTTTCCGACGAAGGGGCTTCCGTCAATTTTTCCCCACTTTTCACATTTCACGGCCAGTTGAGAATTATCATCGCTCATCCTTTTAAACGAATTGCAAGAAAATGGGTGGACATCTGTTTCAGCACTGAAAAAGCGGACGACAGCTTCTCCACGGGTGCTGTTGGGGGCGGTGATGACGTGGAAAGTACTTCCTTGTTTTTTGCTGCAGTGGAATCTCAGTTGGGTGAATTTCAAGTATGCTCGTAGTTCCTTCATAGCATCTCCAGTTATGGCCATTCTTTGATTGCTGTAATTACTGATCCCGCGGTATGATGTTTCAGCGGTCCAGGAATCATTGTCGCCAAGCACTCCATCAGCTACGATGTTAACCACAAGAAGCCAGCCTCCTACAGCAAGAAAAAAAGTAAAAACGACGTGTTGCTCATGAGGTTAGAAATTATGTTTGGGCAAATTTTATTGCCCAAAAACTGATAATAGTTGCGGGAGAAGTAACTGCTTAATGTCCAAGAAAGCCCACTGCACCACAGGCGTCTCAAGCTCACGTTACGAGGGTGGAATGTAACTGTTGACGCGAGCGAGTCGGTATCGCGTTACAAGACATTTTTTTCATTTAAAATTCATTGTATTTATCTACATTATGTGTCTTAAGCTGTCCTCTCAGAAGGCGGCCTGAATAGGCCAACCCTTCAGCGCCACGCCTTTATTCATTCATTCATTCTTTCTTTCTTTCTTATCTAGGAAATAGGTTACCTTTGTTACTTTTCTCACATACCATCAAACGTTCTTGAGCTTTCTGGGTTTGGCATTGTATTTATGTAGTGTAGGCTTTTCAAAGCCTTTACGTTTTGCGAATACAGCAAAATGCATGGAGTCAGGACATAGACCGCATTTATAATTTGTTTACCTCCATCAGTTGTCATGTCACAGTAGACTTTTAAAGGGTCTCCATTTTTCTGAGGGTCGATCCAGTACTCCCCGTCACCTGTAGTAGCTCCCCTCTCCATGATATCTTTGCATGAATTACCAGGGTTTGTCGACACTTTCCCGAGAACCCCTAAAACCGAAATTTGCGTGAGAGTAAACGTTATTTATTTGTAACATTTCCCGGCTGAGGCCTTTTGTAATCAATAAGAGCATACATGCAGTTCTGTGAAAATTCAGAATAGTTAACATTCGGGGGTACAAATTATTTTAAAGCGTGAAATGTCCGACACTTTTTAGCGCAATCTAATCAAGGCATGACTAGAGAGGGCACAAGATGTTTGACACTTGATAAGGATTTTCTACATATGCAGTAACACTGTGTTGTGCACTCGTATGGAGTTTTCATGTTGTAAAAGCTGCTTTGCCGCTAACCACGATTTAATCTACCAAATCATTCGTTGTGAGGTCATATGGCAGGATGGGAGTTATTGCTCAAGGTGGCCCGAACCTATTGTTTAAAATAGCGTGTTGTTCGTTACCCGATCTGGAAAGAAAATCTATTCAAGTTTGCAAAGTCCATCAGGAATATCTCCACGTATTCATAGCAATTTCAGTGATCTTAGTTCTGATATAGTAACATTATATTTCAGTTGTAAGAGTGGTTTTAGGATAAATGAATTCTCTATATTAAAAACCGTATTTCGACAAAAATTGTAAATACCTCTGAAATCCTTTGACAAATGTTTCCCTCTAACTTCAGGAAATAAGCCTCAGAGTTCTCTAGTTTTGTATGCAAGTTTGAAGTCAGCCGTTACCGCATACATGACATTTGTCGTAGGGTTTCAAAGTTATTCACATTTTTTTTAGCAAAAATGAGTTTTTACACTGGTATCTTCAACGTTTTCAAACCTACAAGAAAATCGCCGAAGATTTCCACCATTTTTCATTATGGGGGCCAAAATTCATAGAGATCAGTTTAATTTCTCTGTGAAAAACGCGATTCAAAACATAATAAAAATATCTAGTGTATAACCTTCAGTACAATATTCCCCTGTATATCCAGCAGAACACACGCATCTGTATCCACGGTCAGTAAATCCTGTTTGGCAGCGGCTATTCGAAGAGCACTGATTGTTAACACAGAAGTTCTGCATTGTTAAAGAAAATAAATCCACAGTACAGATGTAACGATAAAGCCCATTTACCTAATAATATGCTCAGATGATCAATAACCCATCGTGCAGACTTACGAAATGTAAAGTCATCGGCGAATCATTGTCGCTGGGTTATGAAAAATAGCCGTCAACTCTGAAAGCTTTTTAACTGCATCGTTTCACTCAAGGTAGAGTATAACGTACAGTTTCTTAGTCTTTCTGCAACTACAATGACCTACAGTGATAAATACTCCCGACAATTTTTATACCTAACCGGTTAAACTCTTCTTCTCGCGAATAAATCGTCTCTGAGGTAATATTGACTGAAACAGAGATGCCTTATATTGCCATACCACAGAACACTGAACTGAGGGACTGACTGCCCCTAAAAACACGAAACGAACCAACCAAGGATTTTCAGCAGGTACTGAAGTCAAGAAGTTTTAACTTCTCGGTGACCTTTCAAAAAAGGTTATGTATGACCACTCATCCCGGCCACTACCGTCGGCACTACTTCTGATTAACCATCCACATCATCAAAAAAGCTTGGACACACACAAAAAAAATTAATTTAACTCCTATTTATATATAAGCAGTTATATCTTACCAGGGTTGGCTCATAGATGAAGCCAGATCTATGTTTCAAATCTTGAGGATGCAATTCGTGATCTGAGCTACTTAGTTCACACAAATATTTTCCATTTGCACCAAGTCCAAAATTGATTGACATGCACTCACTCTCCATATAGCATTGAAACTCGCAATCATCTCTAGAATTTACTTCGTAACTTTTAACAAGGTGACCACCAAGGGCTTTGTCTCTTATTGCACTGCCAAACTTCAGTGTACGACAGTTACCTATCGAATAAAAATAGTTAATCGTGTATCAAACATCTTCAAGAAGTAAAATAGATTTTCTTAGTAGCTGAAAGTGTTGTAATATAGTAAAAAAAAATGGTCTGGGGGGTATTCCCTTTTATTATATAGACACGAGTGTTTTACTGGAAAATATACCACTCGTAAAATTCATAAAAACTACATCCGGGACCCGAGTGGTTTATTTTCCATAATCTCACACGTGAGTTTATCGATGACGTAATTTCGGTAATTTCCCTCCAAAATTTGTAGGCGTCTTGCGTCCTTTGAATTTTAATTACACATTTTTCAAAACTTTGCTTATATTTTGTCAATGTAGAGCCCTATTCAGCTCAGTGGTATTTCTCCAGATTATTGTAAAGAATGTCTTATATTTCTGTACTGTAAATTTGAGCCGTCACAATTATACTTTTTGGCAATAAAAGTCTATTATTTTGTCGATGTCTTTTTGTCTATATAATAAAAAGAACGTTACACGGCGGCTTGAAGATATGAATTTTATTTTCTCGTGGCAAAAACAATGTTTTACTCACTCGCTGCGCTCGTTCGTAAAGTATTGTTTTGCCACTCGAAAATAAAATTCATATCTTCTTGCCACCGTGTAATATTCTCTATATATAAGTCATATTGTGCCGCCCCAAAGGGTATCGTTTTTGCGCCGTTTCGGTCTGAAAACTAGTCTCCTTCGCAGCCGTTATTAGGGTCGTCACTCGAGGAGCGTTGCGTGACGAGTGACGACCCTAATAACGGCTGCGAAGGAGACTATCTGAAAACGGGTATAAATTTTTTTCGTATGGGTCTGGAATCGGGTATGGTTTTCAAGGGAACTACGGGAGTGTACTTGTAATTTCAATTCCAATTGAATACGAAATGACAAAATTCCAATGAATAAGAAAGAAAGAGTAGTAAGCTAATTCGAAATTGATTTCAACAACTCTTTTTGTTGGCGTTCTAATCTAAGTAATAATGACTAATTTCTGCCTATCCCGGGTCTGAAAATCGCTATGGAAATTGAAGCCAGGTCTGAAAACGGGTGTGAAAAATAACATTTCAGTTTGGTCTGAAATGGGGTCACGATTTGGAAAACCGGGCGGCACAGCCCCACCAAGAATTCCCGGGAGTACCAGCTCGGGAAAAGGTGAAGATTCACACGAGCCAAAGGCCCAAACGGCCGGAGCTTATCCCGGTTTCCTTAACATGAAGCATGCCTAGGAGTTTGCTACTCTCCCCTGGACGGGATGCTAGTCCATCGCAGGGTAAGCCCCATAGCAGTATGTCTTTGGTGCCCATTTATACTCTTCATACACCTGGGTGAAGCCTCAAACAAAGTGGCAATACGCCAAAATAACTTTGCCAAAGCGCAGTTTTCATTCATCAACATAATACTCGGAGACTGTGGACCATTTTGCCTCTAGTGACGTGATTAATGCCAATATCTTTTTCACGTCTCATTTTCTGAAAGATTTGTGATGTCAAAGCTTCGTAATATAATTGTTTTCCTAAACAGAGAAAGAACAGATTTTTTAGCAGTGCATGCATTTTTTTATTTTAAAATTGCAACCTTGACAGTTTAACTATAATTTATAATTTGGGTGGATATAAATGCCAGCCTCTTGTCAATGGTACTGACTTTTAATTTAAAAAAGTGAAATTCATGTATTCAACATTTTAAATAAAAAATGAGTTGGGAATATGTTGACAGTACATTAAGCTTTTACAGTTGTTGTTGTATAACAGTGTTTTGTTTTCAAAAAAAAAAAAAAGAGTTTCTCTCTACGTTCAATTCCAAAAGAATACACGTTCGCCGACATTTCGCCCAATATTCTTATGCCAATTTCCAAATTTTTACAGCAGCTTATATACTGACTTTTAATTTAAAAAAGTGAAATTCATATATTCAACATTTTAAATAAAAAATATACAAATTATATATAATTTTGACAACAAAACACTGTTATACAACAACAACTGTTTTGTTGTCAAAATTATATATAATTTTGACAACAAAACACTGTTATACAACAACAACTGTAAAAGCTTAAAGTACTGTCAACATATTCCCAACTCATTTTTTATTTAAAATGTTGAATATATGAATTTCACTTTTTTAAATTAAAAGTCAGTATATAAGCTACTGTAAAAATTTGGAAATTGGCATAAGAATATTGGGCGAAATGTCGGCGAACGTGTATTCTTTTGGAATTGAACGTAGAGGGAAACTTTTTTTTTTTTTTTTGATAAATTTTCATTTTTGTTGCTCTGACGAAATCTCTTGCATCCAAAACAATAATGGTTTGCCTCAGTTAGTTTAACATACACACATTTTTAGAAAAGACTGATTTAAGGATTTCTAAGAATAACTGTGCTGCGATTCCCCTGGTAGTTATATAGCCGAATTGTGATGAGAACTCCATGCTGATGCCTGCTATATAAAATTATCATTTTATCTCTCTTTTTTTTGTCGTGGTGGCTTTTTCAAATCACTAAGATAAATAAAAAATAATGATAACAAATTACAACAAATATAACTGAACATGACAATAAAAAAGAATGAAACTTTTAAAATAATATGACAAACGTGCGGCCATGAACTATATCTTTTGGGATAGAACATGATAGAATTTTCAACCCACGTTTACCTTCATCTTGTAAACAGATTCCCAAGGTAAAGAGAAATGCCATCAAACTGAAACCTAACGTTACATACAATACGTTGTACGCCATAGGAACTGAGGTCAAAACTGTTAAGTCCTTCTGCGATATGCGAGTGTCTCCAGTTATTTATTAATGTAAACAAAAGAGTATAATTCATGATCAGTTTTATTGTACTTCTTAAACTCAGGCGCCAAGATACCCGTATCATTTGGCACTGGTTTGAATTTTCATACAAAATGTGATCATTGCTAATCATTCATTTTTCCTATCTGCACATACAAAAAAAACAACACCAACAACACCAAATATCTTCTTTTCGGAGAAGGTCTTGTTAAAGAGAAAATATGAGATAATATTTGGAAGAAAAAAACAATAACAACTCTCTAAAACTCAAATAACTCAGTTTTGCTGGTAAGTATTGTAAGCTTTTTTGAAAAAATAAATTGGCACTTGAAAATCCTTCGGCTTAACTGAAAACTTGTTCAGCAGGTTATGTCGTCGTATTTAGGAACGTTCATGAAAAAAATTTTACAGTGGAACCTCTATTCAGGGGACAGCCTCGGGACCAAGGCAAGTGTCTGTTAAGCCGCAAAGTGTGTAACAACTGACGAAAATGTAACATTAACCCGAAATGTAACAACTTTTTGACGCAAAATGAAACAATATTTTGAACGCGAAATGTAAGCAAAATGTTACAGCCCGGAAATAACTGAGAGACTTGGATATAAACGTTGTTGTTAAAGTGTACATTTTCTAGTGGTTACAAAAACAGTTTATTTATAAAGTTTTTTTTATATTAAATATCAAAAATTAAAACTTTAAAAAAAGTCCTGAGCATGTGATAGAGTTACAAGTCATGTATAACTTTGGAAAAGTGGTATCATAGGCTGCGGAGTAGGGGGCAAGGGGGGGGGGGAGGCCGTAGCTCCCACCCCAAACAAAAATTTGGGGGGACAGAGCCCCCCACGTTTTGGTGTGTAAAAACACTTTTACTGATGTATTTTTTCAATACCTGTGACATCAGTGACTTCAGAGCGCACATTTTTTGTCCTCAGACGGCTCAAGAACAACTGTCCACTGATACATTGTCAAAAATCGATTACGGACAGAGTAGACACTTTGAAGATTGCAAAAACATTTGTCTGTGCCAAAGAATAACGCAAAGTACATTTTGGAAAATTTGAGTAGGCGTTTGCGTATAGCTGAGTCAAAGATGAGCCCGCACGTTTCAAAACGCTTCACCGCCTCTGAGTACGGACAATAACAACAACACTAACGTATTAAACATGACGTATGGCAAATATCCTTTTAAAACTAAGCTAAAGAATATGACTACGAATGTGAGCAAAGGAGTACTTGTAATAACACCGTAAGAAACACGCACCAGCCAGCAATTCAAAATAGAAGTAGAAATTATGAAAGGTGATAGATATGAAATTTCTCATTTCTTACCGTAAATGTGAAAAGTAAATGTGAGAAATTTCATACCAACCCAGTCCTGCTGTCTGAAAACTTAACCATGCCGACACTCATTTAACACTGTTGATTATCTCACGCATACTCTGAAAGAAATTAAAACTAGCGTTTTATTATTAGCCATGCCACTTTTCAGAGGTCATGTGACTTGTACCGCACATGCCTGTTTCAGGATTTAGTTACTATTAGCGAAAAACGTTTTGCAAGTTTATTTGATATATATATTTGTAACCACCGGCAAGTTTTTTTCTTTATACAAGTCTCTCAGATATTTCATCGCTTTAACATCTTGATTGTTACCTTTCGCG